CAGTAAATTAATACAAGAAAAAAAAAATTCAATAGGGGGGGCACAATCAATACGAAATAATATGGTGGTTTCGTATTGATAGTGGTGCCCCTAGTGAATTTTTTTTTTCTTGTATTACTTTACTGGAAAGTAATACTAATTTTATGAGTATTACTGTTACTGGTAACACTAATACTTCTAGTATTACTGTTACTGGTAATAGGAATACTGTTCAGTATTACTGTTACTAGTAATAGGAGTACATGGAAGATTACTGTTACCAGTAACAGTAATATATACCTTTTAGTATTACTTTTCTCGGTAATGTAACACATGAGTAATAGTAATACTGTCATCCCTACTTACACTAAGCATTTTTCTAAAACACGTGCTCAATAAAGTGAGTTTCCTAATTTTTCCTAATGTCCGATCTTCATGAAACTTTCAGTAAATATTCTTGTACATGTAATACATGCACATGATTAGCATAAAATACCATAAACGTTTCTGGATGGAGTTATAAGTTTTCCCAAAACCCGGTTTTGTCATTCTTTTTCTGTTCCACACCACCTTTTCTCAAAAGTAATCAGAGATTCGGAATCAGCGTGAAAAACTGCAAAAAAAAAGATAAATGGAACAAGTACTTGACTGAAGTTTTTCCAGTAACTTGCTTGAACACCCATGTACTAAAGATCGCATAAAAATCGGCAATTAATCGTGAAAAATCGTACGATTAATCACAATTAATTGCAGATTTTTTGTTGATTTTCAGGTGATTCTAGCGGTTAATTGCTGATTTTTTTCTAGGTATTAAGTTCGAACCCATCAATGTGATTTTTAATGCTTTTTTGAAAGAATTTATTTTTCGAGAAAAGTTCCGGTTGAGGAAAAACGCTGCTTTTCGGGTTTTCCCGTTTGGAACGACGTAAAACTACGGTTGCGTTGTGAAGTACGTAATGTTTTGTCCGCAATGATGTTAAACTACGATATAAAAACGCCAATTGTTATCGACTCGTAAAACTTGAGAACTCACGTATTTTTCGAAACTGTAATTTTCTGCATTATTAGGTTATTTGGTTTCCTTTCGGATATGTACATAACAGCTTGAGTTTGAAGGTACAATGGAAGTGTACAAATGGAAGTTCAGCCTCTCCACCAGGGCCACACTCTCAAGTTGTTATCATTTTGATTGTACTTGGACTCTCATCGTTGCGCGTGATGGATTAAGAGTAGCACAGGTTAGCAGTGAAGTTCGAATTCCACGCTTCAGTGGGCCGATGCATTACTGGATGTGGACAGAGCCAACTAGAGGGCGACCTGTATCCGATAAACCAGGCTTAGTGAACACGCGTACCTCCCTGGTCTGATGCAGATCGCCTCTGTGGGCTATTTTTCTTTATATGCGAGGACGGCGTATGAATGCGTAGGGCAACTGAGCGATCTCCGGAAACCGTCGATAGTGGCATGATTGTTAACGGTAGTGTCATGACGGTTTCTGGCTACGTTGATAGTTTAGAAGGTTAGAAACTAGCAATGGATTTAAACATAAAAACCACAACCCCGACAACAAAAGGAATGATAGAAATATTGTTCTTAGTCATCAGCAGCTGTATAGTTTTTATTATCATACATGTGGTAAAGATCCAGATTTAACAGTTTCGAAAATATGTGAATATTTTAATGCAGATGAGGTCGAAGGTAACAACGCTTTAATTAAAGATCTAATTTTGAATTACATTGAATGGGGGAGACCTTTGCGTGGTGAGAAGGAGAAACGTTGCTACTTACCAACAGTCAACATCCCTGACTGTTTTTTTAATCAATAATGAATAAGAATGTAGGAGCAATCTTGTAACTTTTCTACCCTTGTTTGCTATAAAACAGGGTTTCTGGACAACAAGATCTACAAAAAAACCTTCAAAAGGGCTAGAAAAAATTTGTTTTCATCGGATTTGAACTCAGCATACTCGAAAATCTATAAAAAATGATTTTCAGGTCGCAGAGAGCTTTTTTGAGTCATTTTTGGCCTTCAAAACCTTAAGGATTTCTGGAAAATCCATTTCAAGCACTACATAGTTTCAAAAACTATTTCATTAGAAAGAGTACATTCGAAAACCTATATAAAACTGTTTTTTGAGTCAACTGGTTGGTTTTTATACAAAGTGTCTGCTTGCCTATCAAAAATTATCCACTATGCATTATTGAATTTTTCAGTATGCACTTTTCTTTTTTTATCTATTCTAATTTTAGTGGTCTTACGTAAGCTGAAGTACTAATACTTCCCACACTCTTATCTTTTTAGTACTCGAACTACAACATCTTAGTTCATTCTATCTTTTGTTCTACTTGTTAATTTATTAATTTTTTTTTATTCACTTTTTTCTTATTATTTCTTACGATGATCATCAACGAATCTTCCTCCGCATTTTCTTCCTCAATCTCTAACAGCATGGGAAATATTACTCAATTTTAAAGTTTTCGTAGAAAAAAGTTTCTCAAATACATATATGGGTGACCGAGTACGACGTCTCGACCATCGAGTATGCACAGATATTCGACCAACTTTGTTCAATAAACATAAGAAAAAAAAATCCTTGTCGTTCTTAAAGTTGCACTAGGAACGCAAACCATCGGTTCTCTATCAATCGATTGAACATTGTGATTAACTGAATAGAATCATCTCTCCTTCTATTAATTGCAGCATTTGAAAATTGATGAAATCTTTAACTTGCTTGCTTGCTACATGAGCAAATTTTTAGTGACATCAATATAATCAAACCAATTTTTCAGTTTAATTTCAGTCTGTAGTCCACATGCCTTAAATTTGATTTTTAATTCAAAATATGCTCACATTTTTCGAAGAATACTATAAGTATTATTTTGTTCACAATATCAGTGACAGCTCTTCGAGCATAACCCCGTTGAATTATACAACATGGTGCATACTTCCAGTGTTTCAATACGTCAGTTTTTTCAATAGTTCTATTCAAAACAAAAAAAAAACTTAATGTTCTCTCTTCCACTATAATAACAACATAGGCCGTTATTTACGACGTCGTGACGTCAACTACTTTTCTTTCTTCTTGAAAATTGTCTCCTATTAGTTCTGTGATGATCGGTGGTTCTATAATAATAATAACAACAATTTCTTTTTACTTCTCAACAATCATGCACCAGATGGATAAAAAACGATTTTATTCATATGTGATGATTATTATTGAGAAAAAAACTTGTTTTTTTCCGTCCTTCTCAGAGCAGGTCCATGTTTTAGAATAATCGTTTCATGTTATACCGTAAAAAATCTTGTTCCCTCTGTTGAGTAAATATAAAAAATAAAGAACAAAAACGAAGTTTAATTGATAGCTTTTAATTTGATTCAAGTAAGAAAATTATATGAATTAGTCAGTTTTATACTTTATTCATTCTATTCGTAATCGATTTTTGATTTAAATAGCCTATGAAACTAGAGAACAGTTAAGACCAAACTTCTAAAATATAATTCTATAAAATATGAACTCTTAAATTTACTGTGTTATATCTTGTAGTTCACAGCACAGATGCGTGATTATTCGAGAGATGAGATAGAATAAAGTAATGAAGACAGATGATCATCTATTCTAGACTAAACGGCTTTAACTAATTTCTATTCAATATTTAAGCGATATTCAATAAAGTTCCAAATTTTGATTGATAAGAAGCTCCGAAGATACATAACTGACTTTATGATCCAATATTTTTCTTATCTTAGAACCTTTTGCAAATTGTATACATGATTTATTTGCTAATTTCTCTCGTATTGATTTAAAAAATGTTTTCATCCGTTTTTTTTCTATTTTCTATGTAAGAGAAGTCACATTATATGTTGAGAACTATTCGAAAACCGTAATTAATCTATCTGTGAATGTTTACGCTAAGTTAGTAAAGAAAAGTTTACTTGTCTATTGATCAATGTCAAACAACAATCTCTTAGATTATCGCAATTTATGGAGAGCTATTTCTAGTTATTCAGTAGAAGTTATCATCGTCGTTCCAATATTTAAAACAGAAAACAGTTTTCGTAATTCTATCATTTCTGTTTATTTTTTAAGATAACTAACGGAACTAAATCATTTGTTTTTACATATTTAGGTTTTCTATTGTACATATTACTTTTCTGTTAAACAATCACTATATGACTAATATTGACTACCAACGAGATCCAAACGAAATGCACGACGATGATCAAGATATGGATGAAGCAGATGTTGCTTCTTCGGCCAATATGCAACAATTAGTAGCAGCTAAAGCTGAAGAATTATTTCGTCTATGTGATATTGAAGAAAAAGGATTTATTATCAAAAAAGATATGCAACGTTTAAAAGATGAATTAGGTTTTGCACCTGAACAATTAGAAGATGTTTTTGATTCATTAGATGGTGATCATAATGGGTATTTAACATTAGAAGAATTTACATGTAAGATGAGATTAGTCCTTCTATAAATAATAATGAAAATCTGTTTGGATTTTAGCCGGTTTCGGAATGTTTTTGAATATTCAAATGGGTGACACAGAAGAGCAAGAAATTGAACATAATCCGCAAGAAAAAGAAGAACAACAATTATTTCATGATACATTAGATTCACTAGGCGCAAAAGGTCTTTATGATGATGAAGAAACAATTCAAGCATTATGGACGAAATTAAGAGAAACTGATCCAACACTACTCAGACAATTTGAAGGATTCATTGGAAAAGTAACAACTGAAATTAGACGATCGAAATTAGGTTAGAGAGGTGCTTGTAGTTAACATTGCTTTAATAATGTATGAGTAATTTTTCCAGATCATCGAACAATTGAAGCTGCCTTACAAAGTAAAACTTCCGTGCATGATACAGAAGTGAAAAGACTCTATGAAGAAATGGAACAACAAATTAAAGCAGAAAAAGCACAAGTTCTCGCGCAAGTAGGTGTGTTTTTTAAAGATTTCAAACACTAAACTAAAATGACTACACTGTTTCAATAGGAAAAGTTGAAAGAACGTGAACTTCGTGAGCAAATGGAACGTGAATTACGTGCAAAAGAAGCTCAATTAATGGATGTACAAAAATTACAATCAGATTTAGAAATGAAAGTGTTTCGATTGAACATGACCGAATCAGAAATAAAAAATGAAAATGAACGTTTACAAAAAGTAGGCTGTAAAATAGAAGATAGAGGGCGCTATTTTACGTGTTTTATTATTATTTTCTCTATACGAACCAATGAAACGATGATCCGAGAATGTCGCTGTATGTGATTGGTTATTGTAATTTAGGAAAAATTTCAATTAGAAGGGCAATTACAAGAGATTTCAAAAAATTTAGAAGAATCTAAAAATTATATATCACAACTTCAAAATCAAACAAAGAAAGAAAAACGAGATCGTGCCAAGTATGCAACATACATTTTTTGCTTACATCTCTTTACTTAATTGGTAAATTCTAGACAAGCGTTGAATCTAACAGAAAATATTGCGATTGAACGCGAAAGTCTTGTCAAACAACTTGACATACTTAAGTAGGTTATTTCAATGGTGATGATAATTTTTGAATACTTTTGAATATTTCATTTTTAGATCAGTGAATAAAAAATTGGTTGATGAACGTGATGTAATTGATGCCAAGGTATTATACAATCATTCAATGTTATGCACACTGAATAAACGATTTGCTCATTGGAATTTTAGAGTAGTAATGAAAGCGTTGTAACAACACCAATATCAAAGAATAAAAGGCATGTCCAAACACAAGGGTCAATACTTTCAAACTATTTTAGCTCATCGCATAGGTGTGTCTTCGGTTTCTTTTAAGAAAAAATAAATTATTCTTCGTGAACATCAAAAGAACAAAAGAGACAAAGCGTTGAACTGTGCATTACTAATTTTTTTTGAACATTTTTATCAATTACCACCGCTTCTTCTTCTTCTTCTTATCTCTTAAAGATAAAGTAAATATCTCCGAGCTGAATTTTACTTTTTTATTTAGACAAGAGAGTGATCCAGAAGAAGATGATGATGTCATGGCACCATTGCATGACAACGACAGTGAAAGTGGTGTAGATATTTCTGTTAGACGACCACGTCGGCGAGTCAGGTAGGTTAATTGTTTTGATTTCCGATCATTTTCTCTCCTAAAAAAGTCAAATAAATCGAGTGTTTGATGAGGGGATGTTTCTGGCCCTTATATCCATCTTCTAGACGTCTAATCAGAAATGGTAGTACTGATAGTGGCTCTGAACGAGAATATAAAGTACATCGACGATATCCAAGGAGGTAATATCAAGGTGATTGTTTAATACTAAGTTACATATTTTATTTTTAGGTGGTGGGTGATCTTTTGATAAGAATAAGCATACACTAATCTCTCTGTATATATTTTCAGGCGTCGAAATTTACGTTCAGGCACAAGTGAATCAGAAGACATGTGTGATAATGTTGATCGTCTACTATTATCTGATTTTAAAAAACATCGTTACAAAATCAATTACATATCGAATAAAGATTTACTTTTATTGTAGGAATTGAATTTATTGTTGCTCCTATCTAACATTCCTAGTTAAAGAACTAAGAATATCGTCAAATGATCTAGTTATAACTAGATTCTAATAGACTTTTTTTGGGTTTTTTTTAGAGCGCAAGAATTGGGTGCCCGAGAGCAACCGGTTGGTGCTAGTGCCGTTCTACAGCATTCTGAACTAATGGTATTTTTTGTGTGTTACATCACATCACCTTACACTATCATTCCCATTTATTATTTTTTCACTTGAACATCTAAGAATTTCGCAACATTTCATTTTAATGCTGTTTTTCTCTAGACTGTCGCACCAAATGCCGTTCCTGACCGAATGTTTAAAGTGGCATTTATTGGTAAAATTTTCTAAAATTTATTTTTGTTTAGTTTGAAATTTCAATGCTTTTCATTTTTATTATAGGTGACAGTGGTGTTGGAAAAACGAGTTTTATCCAACGTTTTTGCACGGATAATTTTAGAGAAACATTTAGTGCAACAATTGGCGTCGATTTACAAGTAAAAATGTTAAATCTGGATCAAAAAATTATTGCGCTACAATTGTGGGATACGGTGAGTTTTAGAGTATAAGTTTATTAAAAGATTATTCACTTAACACAAGTTGAACTTGTATTTTAGGCTGGTCAGGAACGGTATGTAAATGAACGTTAACAATTTTAATGCAGAGAAAATCACTTTTCTCAATTAAATAGAATTCTCGGCCTCTAGCAACAATTGTGAAATGAAAAAAGAAAGAGAATCAATCTTTTCCATTTGACATCCTATAAGTGAGCCATCTTTGTGTTTCTATAGACTTAGCCCTGTCACTTAGACGGAGATATCGAAAGTAAAAAAGGAGAAGACACCAGTTGAAAAAAGACACGTGACCATCACATATAGCCACTTTTCTTCATATATATAAAATGAACGAAAAAAACCCATCGTCTTTCTATATAAACACAAGGATGACTCAAAGGTAGAGATGGGCATCGGGATCAAAATTTTTTTTCTGGTCCCGGTAAAAGATTTGCGTCCCATTCCATTATCTTCAGTGCTAAACTATTATTTGACCTCGGATTTTGTACAGAAATGTTTGCTCTTTCAGCCTATATATTTTAAAGTATATCGCAGGCCTTCGTTATCAATTAATTTAGCAACTACAATGACCGGGACCACATGGCCGGGACCAACCTGGTCCCGGCCATTATATTTGTTAATTAATTAATAACGAAGGCCTGTGATATACTTTAAAATATATAGGCTGAAAGAGCAAACATTTCTGTACAAAATCCGAGGTCAAATAATAGTTTAGCACTGCAGATAATGGAATGGAACGCAAATCTTTTACCGGGATAAGAAAAAGTTTTTGATCTCAGTGCCCATCTCTACCCAGAGGATGACAAAATGGAAAAGCTTGATTCTCATTCTTTTGTCATTTCACAATTGTTGTTAGAGGAACAAGTAGTGCATGCATATTATTCTCCAAACTTGAGGGTATTATTATTTTTCAAAACGTTAGACAGCAGATGTATGACTATTGTCAAGTCTTAATGAAATTCTTTTTATTTAATTTCTTATAGTTTTCGAAGTATAACAACACAGTATTTTCGGAAATCAGATGGTGTTGTACTTGTTTATGATGTTACATCTGAAACAACATTTAAAAATGTTCGAGCTTGGATGACAAGTATTCAGGTACTCTTTTGAACAAAAAGCATTTATCCTATTATTAAAACTTGAGACTATTCATCTACACAGGAAGCAACTGAAGATGACTGTGTTATTGCACTTGTTGGTAATAAAATCGATCTTTGTGATGACGATGAGAAGAGACCAGTGAAATATAAAGACGGTGCGAAACTAGCAGATGTATGTTATTGATATAATCTTTATAGGGGAGAATAAATGATTACAAGGTCATTATTTTAGGAATATGGATGTTTATTTTTTGAAACCAGTGCACGACAAGGAACAACAATTGTTGAAACATTGGAAGCCATAGCAAGGTGAGAAAAATACATTTATCTTAATATTTTTTTTATTTCATTTTTTTCTCAAAGATTAATGCAAGAAAAAGATGACAAACAACGAAAAGGTGAAAATATTATTCAAATAACACCAAAACCAAAAAGCAAAGGTTGCTGTTAGCTACAACATGATTTATATTTTAAATTTCTTGTATATTCTTACTGCTGCGCAGTATTGTTGCTTTTCTAATTGATAAAATTTTTTTGTTTTATTGAGCACAAAGGGGCAAAAATGATTAGAAGGAAACGATAAATTTTGATGTTTGATAGACATCCTTTAGATAAAAATATTAAATTATCTCTTGTTAGCGTTTTTGGAGGATAATTGTGGAGAATAAAATCGGCATTAATAAGTAATCAAGTATGTAACTTACTGAAGGGTTAGGTCTTAAAACAATATGTTATGATGAAACAAACAAACTTTTGTTTGTTGCTCTCGCCTCCTTAAGCGTTCAAATATTTTCAATAGGTGTACCGAATCATCCAGCAATTGAAACTTGAAACATTGTGAGGAAAGTATACAAATATTGAATACTGTAGTCAAAATTTTCGACAAAACTCAAAGTTTCCATATCGGCCTATCACAATCAAGTGGTCATTTTTCTGTAACCATCAAGTATCAGTATACGCAGTTTATGCCATATGTAGAGGACACTTAACGCTATATTCTGCGGTATTATACAGGTCTCCTTCGAAGTTAATTGCGTTTTGGTGCTCAGAAAATACTACGAGAGGGCTTGAAATTTACAAGATGATTAGTATCCTCTACACTCTATAATCACATACAATTTGAGGTCACTAGGTAGATGCTCTGTTCTTTTTGTTTCTGTGAAATTAGAAATACACTGAAGTCGGTTGCCATTTAGCCGTATTTTGGCAACTCTTTTGAAGTCGCTTTGATGTGTCTTCTAGAAAAGACACATTAAAGAAAGTTTTCGTTCCTGTCAAGAATTGAACTCGGTCTGTTCGCTTACCAGACGAAGGTGTTCAATCACTGAACCATACACGCACATTAATTATTAGTCTTATTGGCCTCTTACATTGACGTTTCATGTGAGACATTAAAAACGTAGTAGAGTCACATGGAAGGCGGGAAGATGTGACTACTAAGCGTCTTTCGGGTTCATGTCTTCTATGCGACTTCTATATGTCTACCAGTAGACACATTGTAGAAGACGTCTATTATTTTGAAGACGCAATGTAGTCATACAAAAGACACTTTGTCTCGGTAGACACATCGCTGAAGTCGCATTTTTTTCTCCCGAACCATGACTTTTCGAGATGTCACTTGGATCTGGTTTTGTAGAGAACATCTTTGACTATCCATATATGAAAAAAAACTGATAGATTCCTATGTAAAACTTTGAACTATAAACTGCCAGAGATCCACTTAGAAATCCTCCAGAGATCAGATCAAAAAATTTTGATTTCTGCATATTATTACGTGTCCCGGTCTTGGTATACGGTGGAGAAGATCCGATCTCGATAGTTTGTTCCGTTCTCGAGTTATTCATGTCGCAACCATCCGCACTATATTTTGAAATGGATAGTAGTACTTGAAGTTCTTAAGCTATGGCCTGTTTTTTCAAAGATCTCTTAAAATGCCTACTTTCGAAAAAGATTTTTGAAATCTTTTCTGTTTAGAAAAGTGCACTCAAGTCTTTTCTTTCCAATGGTGAAGACCCGAGCTCTCTAGCTCTTTTTGTGCTCGACTTATTTAAAAAACGATCAAGCGCACTGGGTTTTTCGATAACAGTGAAAGAGAAGAAACAGGTTTGTAGAGAATCCCGTCCGGTAGGAAACCATCTTTTGGTCGGTCTAAATGCTATTTATGTACTTCATTAAATTCAACATGTTTCGAAACCTCTACACTAGAAATTTGGCTTTATTCGCGCGTGGTATGTTAAAGTTACAGAAGAAAC